GATAAATAAGATGAACCATAAAAGAAATAGAGAGAGGAAAGATAGAAAAGAGATTAATAATCCACACGAATGTGCATCCTCCACTTTCCTCTCTCTAAAGGCATACTCTCATCCAACCCAAGAAGACGAATATCAATTTTGATTCCTCTAATCAAATCTGTTTGGATCTTCCACTCCCTCTCCTCTCCGTCTCTTCTCCCCACCCCTCAAGTTGTCTAACAACCACCGGTGTTTACATGTTATAAAAATGCTCTTAGAGAGTATGGAACTAGCATATCTAAAATATTATCAAGGGATCCAGATTCAAACTGAAAAGATGCAGATTTGTCTAACAGGATGGTGAAGAGCAAATAATTTCATAAAGCTCTTCATATCGAAACACAGGTGAAGAGACACATTTGATTGATGAAATATATAGTTTTTACATTTACAGGTGCCAGGTAAAATTAATCTGATATTCACATTGACTCAGGTTTTGAAAAAAGGGAAAAACTAAACTTGATATTAAGCGAGATAGACAGAATTGACAAGGCATTAAACAAGTAGACTAAATAGATATTTCCGCCAACGTGATGCAAGAAAAGTTCAAGAGGATACAGTTTATATTGTTGACAAGTTTCCAGGGAGAGACAGCACTGTAATTGGAAGCCAATAAGTTTTCAATAAGCTCTTTTAGAGCACAAATCATGCAGAACCCTTCCATATAGCCTGCCATTTGCCACAATTCACATAAAAATTAAAACAAGAAAATCATGGCAAAGCTAATTGATCAGGTAGAGTCCAGACATTTACCCCCATAAGAAACTACAAAAAAAATCATCATCATTATTATTTTAATATTCTTATTGTTATCATAGCCAAACGAATTGTCTGAGTTGAGCTTAAAAGGTCCTACCATCACAAGGATATGGATGGTTGAAAGCTAGTAGGCCTTCAACGACAGGGACTGTATGCATGAAGCATTGCAAGACCGCATTCAGAAAGCAGGTATTGCCTAAATTAAAAAATCCTCCGCCCTATAAACGTTCAAGAACAACCAGTAAATCAATGCAAAATCGTATTTTACCTAATAGTTTAACAGATACAGAAATGGTAATCTAGCAAACTCAAGTAAACAGAAAAAGACATATCTGAATAACAAGTATTACGAGGAATAGTTATATACCACGACAATATGCCTGTCATCTTGAGGGTGTTCTTTTTCCATCTCGTTTTCCCGGCCAAATAAAACATCCGAATCCGATGAGCTCCCGGAGGTTGCAAGGACCTGACCTGACGACGTGGCCGGAGATCCGGTTCGAGCATTTGGCGAACCGGGATAATCTAGTTCAAGAGACTGAGGTTCTAGGGTTTCTGAAGAACCGGTTCCCATCGGAATGTAGAAAAACACTATAAAATTTTGGATTAGTGGTGAAATTGGAGGTGAGGGATAAGGAATTTCAAGTCTTGGGGAAGTGAAAAATATGGAGGGAAAGATTGAGTAGGAAATAATTTGGGGATTTTCAGAGCGACGAAAAAGAAAGGAGGGAAAGACTCATTAAAAGGCATTTGATTTTGTTTGTTTTTTCGTGAGTAAAGAGTATTAATTAATATATGGAGTAATTAATTAATTTGTGAAAGGCGGGAAGTTGAAAGTAAGGCTATTATCCCGCCATTTATTTAGGAAATTTCTACGGAGATAGGGCGACATCTGGCACGTTGGTAGTGGGACCAGCTGATTCACAAAATGAAATCTCTTTTAAGGTTATTTGTAAAATCAATCGGATCTTTCCTCAAGTATTATTACTCCATAGTTTAAGATTATTATACAAGGAGTGGACTTGGTTGGTTCGGTCCCGGTCCGGCTCTATTCTAGCTCGATTCGTTCCTCCTTTTTTTAAGTTTTTTATGCTTTATTCCAAGTTTAAAAATTTTAAAACATGTGCTATCATTTGCTACTTTCGTCCTTTTATGATTGTTTCATTTTATCTTATCGGTTCATCTCAGTAAGATTGTTTCATATCAAATTTGGTAAAGTTTGTGTGACTATAAATCATTCTTACTTTATTATTACGTTATCAATTCAATATCAACCACATAAACCACTTTTTATTAATCTGTGTGACATTCCTTCTTATCCCATTGTTACTGTATACATTAGAAATTGTATTAGGTAGTAAACTTAAATAGATACATTACATTTTGAAATTTAAATGACTTGTACACTTATTGAAGTGAGATTCCAACTTTATTATAAATGACAAGTGAGATCCCAATTTAAATGACATATAGAAATGTTTATATGAATAAGAAGTACTATGCGTATGATAATATGAATAGTAACTAGAAATATAATGTGAATATTAACTAATATGAATATTGAATGATATGATTAGATGAGAGAGTAGTGGTGTAGGGGAGGGGTGGGACTTCCCAAGCTGGCAAGAATTACAAGAATGATGAGAACTAAATTTGTACGTCTAAGATAAGCCAAAACGCTATCATCACAATGACCCAAACGCATGTGCCAAACTGGATCAGGTACAGACGAGGTGAAAAGTGCTAGAGGCAGGTTAGGGACAGTAAAAGGGTAGGTCCTATTCTTATTGGAAGCCCGGGGTAGAGTTGCCCCTGTGTGATTGTCCTTAACAAAAAAAGAATTTTTGTTAAAAATAACAGTGCAATCATTAACCTCGCACAAATTTTAAACGAATAATAAATTATATTTTAAATGTGGAACATGATAAACATAGTTCAAATTAAGCGGGCGACCAGTAATAGATAAATTAACATTGCCAATTTTAGACACATATAAAATAGTACCATTAGCAACCTGCACACTAGTGGTGATAGTAATCAAAGATTTAGAAGACAAAATACCTTCACTCGGGATCATGTGAGCAGACACCAGAATCTAGGTACCTAATGGACTCATTTGTTGTCACGCTTTGACCCACTCGGACACGTCAATAATCCGCCACACAGTACGAATAGTCAACCTCAGTCAAACAAATCCACACTATAATAGGTGTCATGAATATCATTCACACGTAGTACATCTATAAACAAACATAACGTAAAACATTCATTAAAGCAGCAGAAACAATATTACAATGATTCAAGCCACACTTGACAAACTTAGGCGTACAAGCCATCATATAGTTTATCAGATATATCATCCATGAGCATTATTATAAGTGTCTGAAAATAGAAACGGAGGAAGCACGAACCAAGTCTTTCCTCCTAGATCCTTTCCGAACCAACAGGTACTCATAGCAAGCTCAACTTCTACATGCTATGACGTGGCTTCCCCCGTGAAGGGAAGGTCAGTACTTTGAAGCATTTGAAAAGTACAATGACAATTACAATGTATATAATCAATGTATATATAATCAATTACTTTGGATCAATGTATATAATCAATGTTTCAATTCATAAGACCCTTAAATAGGGTGATATGATAATATAGGTCGTAACCCTAGGTTACCTTATTTGAAAATATACTTACTTTATATAAAGTCAAGTAGTCAGCCCGTGAGCCCGTGTTCATTTTGAAAAATCCTTCCCTATTTTCATCATAAAACCTTTGTTAGGTAATTTTACCGTCATAGGGCTTTACCCTATTACGTTATTTCATCATTATAGTGCCTCGCTCATTTATATAACTACACCGTGCTAGAGACTCGCTCTAAATCACTCTATGTTGTGCTAGAGCCTCACTCTTAGTCACTCTACATTTTGCTAGAGTCTCGCTTTTAGTCACCGCTACAACGTGTTAGAGTCTCACTCTTAGTCGCGTTATTTATCCCTAAGCAAGTTCTATGCCTAGAATCAATTTATTTTGAATAGCCTTCAAGGCCTATCCCTAGTATAACTCAGAGCTCATGCATTTTCACTTTAAAGTAAGACAATATGTAAAAGTAAGAAAAAGAAGATAAAAAGTAGATAAAGTACGGGTGGACTCGGGCCGGGTGGTCCGACCCGGGACCGATACTGTTCCGACCCGGTCAGTGCCCGGTCCAGATAGGCCCGACCCGTGGGTTTTCCGGTCCGGGCTCGGGTCACCCAAAACAAGGCCCGGTTCGGGCCAAAATTGATTTTTTTCAATTTTTTTATATTTTCGGGTTGGGCTGGGTATTTTGGGCCATTTGGGGTGGTTTTGGAGGTTGGGGGTGGGAAGGGGGTTAATTAGGAAGAGGGGGAAAAAATTGATAACAGGTCCGGTCCGGACCCGGACCGAACCCAGTGGGTACCCGAGCCGGTCCCGAACCCATCTATTCAGAACCGGCGGCCCGGCCGGGCCTAGGCTCGGCCCGAGCCCGACCCGAGTCCAAGTCTAAGTAAGAGTAGTTGAGTATTTTATTAAGGGTGGACTCGGGCCGGGTGGCCCGACCCAGAACCGGCCCGGAACCGACACTGTGCTGAACCGGCCCGACCCAGTGGCCCAGCCCAGGGGGTTCCCGTTGCAGGCTCAGGTCACCGAAAAGCCGAACCAGCCCGGCCGGTTCAAGCCCAGTTCCGAGCTTTTTAATTTTTTTTTTCAATTTTTTTAAATTTTCGATTTAGGCTTGGTATTTTGGGCCATTTGGGGTGGGAGGGGGTTAATTAGGAAAAGGAAAAAAAAATGACCAGAGATCTAACCCGGACCAGATCCGGTGGCTATCAGGCCGGTCCTGGACCCACCTATTCAGAACCGGCGTCCCGTCTGGGCCTAGGCCTGACCCAGCCCGGGCCCGATTCCACCCCTATATTTTATAAAGGATAAACTTACCAAAAATAAAATAGAAGTGTAACGAACTATTAAATACAACTCAAAAAGAAAAGTGTAAGAAACTTTTAAAAAAACGGGAGAAACATTTCACGTATATACGGAGTATTAGAGTAACATTGGAGTACGTAGTCTGAATAGAGTCCCTACGACTCTGTTTTTTGAGTCTACCACCGTGGCACCGTGTACTAGACACTAGTGCATATTTGACAATTATTGCATACAAGTATTTAAAAATGGAAGACCCAATGAGTTAATAGAAGACCGAACACCATAAATACTCCACATTTCACATTACAAAACACAAACAAGCAATTAATCTTGTCTCAAAGTAACAAATCTTATTTATCTCTTAACAGTATACATATATATATAAAAGAATTCCAACCGCGCTTTCTTTCTTACACCTTCTATATAGAACATTGTCAAATATGTTGACGATCACTTCTGTTTTGATGCAAATGTTTTTTCTTTTCTTTTTTTTTTTGGAAAAATTAGAGAATTCTATCCTGGAGATCTGAGATCAAGTTGGAAGCCAGGGAACTAAGCTTCTTTCCAGTTTCTCCAGCAATATTCTTAAGGGAGGAGATATCCTGTTGTGCCTGAGTGTGACAAAAAAGTACCACGTAAGTTGCAAGTGAAAAATACAAAGTACATGTAGCAAACCGAAGTTCATATTACCTGGAAAGAGAGACGGTTTATGAGGTCACTTGCAGTGATGTCGATGGGCAATCTATCATCATCATGACCAAAGAGGTCGGCACTGGAGATTGAGCTTGAACCCTAAATAATAGAAGTAGAAATGACAAATATTTGGCATCAACTTGCAGTCTGAAACCACTTCGTAATGAGAGCTAGTTACACGGTGTTCATAAGAATGACAACAATAATAGTGAAAAAAGTATTCCATCTAAGGTCGAGGACCTATTGGTACCCTGCTATCAATTTTTCACTTTCAATCTACAGCTATGAATTTGTTGCCAATTTTGGTCCTTCCATCATTATCTTTCCAGTTCAGGTTGACTTTCACCATACAAGTAACAAGGGACCAAAAGTGGTAGAAATTCATAGCCATGCACTGAAACTTAAAAAAAAAGTCGGGGTCCAAAAGTAGGAATGGCCCTAGGATATCAGAATAAAGATGGGACGTTTTCTTCCTAAAACGTAGTGCTTTGACTGAAAGCAGTTCAAAACTCTTCCACCAAACAGAGCACCTCTAGTGGGAAAAAAAAAGATATCTCAGGTTATAAACATATAAAGGCACTAGGGGTGGAGGAATGACGCAGTATATTTAAGAAAGCATACTGAGAACTTCTGCAGGGAAGCCGAAGCTTCAGCATCAGCTTTCTGTTGATCCCCATAAAATTGTGCTGAAGAGATAGATTTTGCATTAGAAAACTTCTTCCTTGCTTCGTCAGTTTCCTCAACCTGTAGATAGAAAATTACAGCAAGAATAGAATATTAATAGAGTATATACAGTGAGCTATTAAAAGCTCAACTACATATATCTTGTGTATAAAGACACCTGACCCTTCAACTACAACACATCTACATGCTAATGGTTTTAAACAAACACATTATACCTGCACTTTAGAGGATTTCGATGTAGTTTTCTTAGAGAACCCACTGTCCATCCCATACTCTGCAAAAAAATTGGACGCCTTTGGAGGTGCAATGTGGTTTAGAACACGAGGGCCTCCAGAATTCATCTCGGCAGGCTGCAAATTGTCGGTGTACTCAAATCGGGAAGTATATGACGAACCAGCTAGAGGGGTGTTACTTGCAGAGACAGAGGATGCCTGAACTTGTGGCTCTTCGGGTTTTTGATCATAGAGACTTTCACTTGTCTGTAAGTCAAATGTCTGATTGTTAAATGAATTAATGTCACACACACGCACTCGCATACTATAACGCAAGTGTGTGTACACATACATATATATTACACACAGAGAGAGAGCACTGTTTTCAAAAGAAAACTTAGATCTCAATGCTTCATGTTGGAGAGCAAGAGATTTGAAATTATGGCACAAATGACCCAGACAGACACTTACATGGGAAACACATATTGATCAGTTAGTGAATGAAATAATAGAACTACGGAGTATTATTTATCAATTATAAGCTAAAAATATGGCCTTCTCTAGTCAATGTGGGGTCCAAAGACCTTGATTGTGAACTTACTTATACCTTCATAGTGAGCTTTCTAGCACCCAAACCACCTGTCTTCCCAGTTCTCTTTGCAACCATACGTTTCTTGAAAGATGTAGAAACAACTGAATGAGAAGCTTTAGGCGAGACAGAAACCTCCGGAGTTTCATTCTTAACAAGAGCACTTCCTTTATTGCCTCCTTCATTTGTCTTAAAATCAGAAAATCCATTAGTAGTAGGAGATTTCGGAGAAGCAACAGGTGAGGATGGGAAGGACGCATCATCAGCCATGCTTTTAGAAACTTCCTTCGAGAGCAGTTGTTTATACAGTTCAGCAGCCCTGGAGGTATACTTGGCCTCAATCTTGCCTCCATCAGCCGCCCATCCATGTTGCTTGAAAAAAACATGAGCACGGTTGTTTCCACCGAAGTACATCGTTTTCAATTGCTCAGGGGTCCATGAATCTAAATTCGTTGATCTAAATAAAAACCACTTCTCATTAAAAATATTAATGAACAAGATTAAAAAATATACTATCCTCCGTTTTTTTAATCGCAACATGTTGACTTTCTGCACTGTTCACATGATATACTTTGACTACATTTTACACTATTATTTGATGGAAATTAAAAAAAAAAACATTTTTCAATTCATCTCATTACAAATTTTCAAAATCTGATTTTTAATATTTTTTATTAATAGAGATTAAGATATACTTACGGTCAAATGTGTGCGTTGGCAAATGTGCCAAGGTTGACTGTTGCAACTAAAAAAGAACGGAGGAAGTATATATTAATAAGTAAAAAGTGCAGGGTAAAAAAACAGTGCTTTATATTGTTGAGAAGAATTATTCTACTTTTAGCCCCTCATCCATAGTGGAATTCCCACCTCTAATCCCTAACTTTGATTTCTCACTTATAGTCCTAACATTCTATTTTATTCCAAAGTATCTAAAATTGACTATAAAGTTGCCTGGTAAAATTCACAAAGATAAATCTTTCACTGAATAATTTGGAGCTAAGTAATTGCATTTTAAAAGTCTTGTAAAAATGTAAAGTTCATTACTTGAAGGAGTGTTTAAATTAGGCCTGGGATCGGTTCGGTTCTTGTTAAAATTCGATGGAACCATATAAAAATCGTAGGCGTTAAATTCGGTTCGGTTCTAGTTAAAAATCTAGGTGTTAAATTTGGTTCGGTTCTAGTTAAATTCGGTTTGGTTCTTACCTTTTTCGGTTCCTTATAAAAATTTATTATCCTCCTAAAATGAACACATTTTTCCTTGAGTTACATAAAAAAATCAAATTTTAAATCATGAAATTATGACCATTACATTATACATGCATGATATTTCAATGTTCAAATATAAAAAAAATATGCAAGCGCAAAATTAAATTTAAACATAACAAAAATCTCGGTTTGCAATAGGCATCGACTGTCAAGCAAAAAGGTTCAATAGCTCCAAAATACACATTCAATAGCAGGTAGTTCAACCCCAAAATAATATTCTTCTACTAGTAATGCACAATAAGTAAAAAGTACGTAGTAATAAACAACGTAATCAACAGAATTCCAATTCCTTTTTGAGGTGAACTCCAATAACAAATACAATTACAAACAAAAAATAAATATAAAAGTGTATTAAAGTATTAAAATAATAACTACCGGATTGGCCTGGTCCACAATATATAAGGTATGTTATGCAAAACAAATACTTTTGACAAGAATATTCTGTCCGGAACGGGGCCGCCTCCATTTGAGGTGCTTCCGCGTACAATTTTTTGATAAAATTTTGTGAGCACGTTCTACACGAAATGTAGATTATATATACCAAAGTTTAGCTTAAAATTCAATCGAGAAGTGAGTTAAATAAAATATTGAAAAACATTGTTACTTCCTGGTTGCATTTTAAGCTCAAATTTGGAGGACATAATCATTATTTCATGAACAACAAATGAAGATTACTCATGCAATGTATAAGAAGTTCGGTTCCTGGGTAGGAACCGGAACCGAACTGGAACCAAACCGGAACCGATGAAATACTATAGGAACCGAAGCGAAAAAAGATGAAGTCCAATATTATAGGAACCGAACCAAACCGGAAATTTTGGTTCGGTTCAGATTGGTTTTTCTGGTTTTACGGTTCCAAGTCCCAGCCCTATTTAAAATGGCACTTTTAAGCCCTAGAGGTGTTTTGCATTTGCATGGCGAGGTCAGCCTCAAACTTTCTATTGAACTTCCATTACAATTCAATCTTATTAAAAAACCTAAAATATATAATCAACCATACACAAAAAGGAGATATATATGTGTCTTAGACCACTATCATAGGGTTTATGATAGAACCAGAAAAGAAAAACTTTCGAGATTTATCATCCTTGATAGAATCAGAAAAAAGTTGTTAAGTTGAGAAAAACTGAGACGAAATGGCTGGTTAGTGAAGATTTTGATATTTAGGAGCAAGTTGGGAAAAAATGATTGGATTCTGTTACTTCCACGGTTATTCTTCAAATATGTAGTAAAAGAAAAAACAGCTGGGGTGGTTTGAGTTATTTTAACCTTGCTGGAAAGAACAGGAGAGAAGAATCTTTGACAAATAGATATTAAGGCTTTGGGTAAATTTACTCCCTGAGCTAATTTACTGCCTGATAGTAAAACATCAATCCCACAAAGAAAGAGGCTTTCAGGCTCACCCAAAAGGCACAAGCTGCCATTGCTTGGGGAGTAAGACTCAGAACCTTTTTTAAATGTTGTAGTGTGAGGCTATGAAAATTAAAAACGCACTTCTTAACCGCTTTTTTAAATCATCATGAGTCATGACTTGACATGGACAATATAAAAAAACAAAAATTAAACACCAAAAGAAAATGTCAATGAATCAAAAGCAGTGTCATGGATAGAGGATGGCAGATTACATAGGGTATATTTATGCTATTTATAACATTCTTTACAAATTTCATATAGTATCTGTACATCCATCCATCATAGCCGCCAAACCGCCATATGGTACCACCGCACCACCATCTATTTTTTATTGAATACAAAATAAAACATAAATAACCTTGCCCCAATTCTTCAAGATAGATCATACAGATTAACACCAAAGTATATAACAAGCAGGTAGTTTAATAACTTAAAGACCATTTGCATAGTCATAATTGGAGATATGTTTCCTTTTGGGGGGGGGGGGGGGGGGTCTTAAAGACAACAAAACTATGTCAGAAGGGTGCCTCCCCTTCCCCATCGCATTGCAACAGATTTGTGTATCCAACAAGTGTTTTTCAGTCCAATCCTTCATGCATACGTACATACACTTGCATGAACACAACATTATAGGTTACCTTAAATATAACCACATATGCACTACTATGGAAGACTGGCAGCCATAAAAAAATGACCTAGACAAAAGTGTCAACTACCACTTGATGACTGTTTATAGAACTTCTAGTAAGCAATCCAATTTTTTGGAAACAAAGCAGCTATTGGCATGTGAAGTTACACTCAGCGTGGAAGGATACCACTAGCCAAAGACACAAAAGTGATTATCTTGTTAAAATCAATGAAAAGGTTAAAACGATTCACATTTGTGACTACACTATCCTCATTCACTACAATCTACAATCTGCTACCTAGACATAACCAATTGAACTCTTTAAGTTTGAATTCTGTACAAATAAACATTTTGAGCCACTGCATCTTGAAAACCTGAATAGGAAACAACATGTCACTCAATCTCTCACCTCACAAAAAAAATGATTTACTGATAACAGATATTTTTTATTTGGAAAATGTTGTTAAAAAAAAACAACCTTAGCTGCAGAAACGGAGCGCATGATCTTAAATTCTCTGATTCTCAACACTAACAGACCCTCAATAGCTCAAGTTACAAGCATGACCTTTTTCTAAGCATTGATTTTAAAAAATGATGTGAAAATCCATAATCCTTTATACAATTAGCAGTATCACCTTACTACTAAAAATGAATTATTTTGAAAAGTTTCCAATATAAACTCTATGCAAAGCCACATAGAATGTTAAGAAAAAATTACTCGTTCATTTTACCTTAGTCCTGGCATGAGCCCACAAGTACTGGGTACATTTAATTTTAAGAAGTAACGTTTCCTTTCTTATTCATGAGGGAAATTTGTCTTCCTTTGTTAATTGAGTGGGATGAGAAAAAAGATTGTTCCAACCCTTATGTAACTAAATATGACAATAGCCATCATTATGCAAACCTGCCTATCTTTAAATGGCAATCTCTAAAATGAAATGAAAAGTGAACCTCATAATCTAAAATCCTATAAACTGACCGCAAGTATATTACTGCATTCAGTCCGAGCAACATTTATTGTTTGTGAAATTTTATTTCGCATTATGGTACTTCAAAAATAACTAACATCAAAACATACAGAAAACTGAACTCCAGCATTCAAGAGACTCTTACCCATATCAAATTGAAAAACCTCTCAAAAGACACAAGTTTAAGAAAGACATTCACCTCACAAAGCTGATGTGAACTCCGAGTCTCCTATGAGTAGCTGAGCAATCGATGCACAGGAAGATCCCATAAGTCACGGACGCCCACGTTGGGTTTTTCGCATTGCAATCAAAACACATCTAGCGAATAGAAGGGAATTCAAAATAAACACCATAACGATATCAGTAAATTATTTAGAAATAACAGATCTGAGCAAAAGAACTGCCGGATCTGAGAAGGATCTATCAAAACATAATAAAAACTCTATAAGGTACAAGTATAAAAATCAAAAATCAAAAGAATATTCAGCACACGAACTTTGTTCTCGGCTTTTGCACGAAGCTTCCGAAAAATAGCATTTTTGTCGCTGAAACCCTCGGAAGCCATGGCCAAAGCAGTAAGAGAAACAAGAGATCCAAGATGAGGGGTAAGAAAGAAAATTATTTTTGCTAACAATTTGAGAAAGAGATCGGCAGAGAGGCCTCCTCAGGGAACGACGGTGCGGAGGCACCTGGACAGAGAAAGATGTGTAAAACCGCTAAAACGAGAAACAAAATTAGAAAATGCTTCGTAAATAAATACTCAATTTTCTTTTTTTGTTCTCTCAAAATTTGATATTTTCTTACTAAAACAACTAATGTGTGTTTTTTCACTTTTTTTTTCTGCACAAATCTCAATCACACAATTTTTATTTTTCTTATTTCTCATCTATTTTGCACTTGTCAAATTCCACCGGAACGGAGGGAATAAATTATAGTTGGGCGAATTTGTAAATAGAAGTATTGACATAAATACCATAAGTACCCCTCGCATACACCATGTTCCACCTGTCAAAGATCAGACAGGACGCGAATTGAATCGGACCGGAATCAAAATTGCCATTTCACACAGACCGTTCATTATTAATCGATCATGCCTATTTGGGCTTATTCATTAGTGTGATTGTAACTCAAACTAGTAGAACACCTGTGTGTTGCACGGTCGGTGAATATTTATAAAAAATGTTATCGCAACACAATCGTATTACAAATACATTCCATCGACAGTTTTTGTTAGGTAAAAAATGAACACCCTAGCAATAGATAACAACAACCTACACAATACACGTTTGTAATGTAATACATTGAAATATACTGCCCAAAATAACACAAAAATCCACACCACATTGAACAAAATCTTCCTCTTCATAAGAGTGTGAACAGAAATTTAATGCAACACTACACGTTATTGAACACTTCTTTGTAAATCACATTTTGAGTCTTGTTAGTTGTTCCCCTTCCTTCATTGCATATAAGAATTTTCAAACCACCCTTGTTGGTCACTCTAGACACCACAACATATAGTTGTCAATGTGTAAACACGGGTTTCTTCAACAACACCCCTACACGGGACAATGATTTGGCTTGACCTATATTTATAGTCATAGCGTATTGATGGATTATAGGGATCCAAACTATATAATAAATGGAGAGATTTGAGCTCAAGAATGTAGAGAAGATGAATGAATAGTGGTATATGAATGAATTGTGAAATTAGAGTTGTGATCTTAGAGTTAGGTATACAAGAGCTCCCTATGGGAGTATAAATAGAGAAACGATGGGTCGGGCCGTTAATATGGGCCCGATAGGCCCAATGACATAAAAGGCTAATCTAGTACATACAAATGATATATGAACTCTACAATAATACAAATGATATAAATGACGTGTATGACCGCTGTCCAGGCCCAATAATCGTGAAACCCGGGGGTCCGAGTCTATATACTCCATCAGGAGTCCCCCACTCCCTAAGTCGAGAGTACTCGAGGTGAAAGGCAGTAGAACTATGTACTGATCTGTCATCGTTTGGTGGAGTAAACTTCGTGAAAAATTTTGAATTTCTGCTTCTTTGGTTAACAGAAGCGCCAAGTCCCCCGCTCTTCCAGTCTCCCACTCCTTGAGGTGAATGTATCGAGGTGAAGAGGAGTAGAGTAATGTGTGTCGCGTGATGTCTTCAACAGGGGGCCGAGGGTCGACACCTTTTGATCCACAATGGGGAGATGCCTCGTTAAAAATCTCATTAAGAAAAAACCCTGTGGGAAAAAATCATAATGAGAGAAAAAGAGTACACCGGATGCCCCCCAAATGAAGCAAAAGGGGTGAGCCCTTCGGCCTAGGTGTGGAGCTGCAACGATGTCTCTAGATGTGAGTAGCTCGGCATGATAAGTAGTCCTAGTCATCAAATAAAGATGACTAAGAGATAGGTCGAGTGACAATCCATAATATGATGTCCGGGTCATCAAATAAAGTGACCGAGACGTGTGGCCGAGAGGTCTATAAGAAGTCCAAACCATCAAATAAAGATGACCATGAGAGACGGCTAAGTGGCAGGTATGATGTCATCATATAGTTGCACCTATGCATTCAAATAAAATTGTTATAATTTCTTTAGCTTATAATTTGCTATTGGATTTGGGCCTAAATTAAGTTGCCTCAAATTTCCAAATTGCAGCTCAAGCTAGGTTTCAATGCTTAGTTGGAGCGTGGCACGCATAAAGGACTGAACCTACAGCTGAGGGATTGCAGTTCATTTCCGATAGCTAGAGGCACACATAACTCATACAAAACATAGAAACTAAAGTATGTATTATATAACATTTGGATTGGGAGCTTACTATCCACACTCGTTTGACGTGACCCGGTGGCACGAGTGTGTGTGCTCGCCCGGTGTACACGAGTGCTCGGAATTTCATAAGTCCGTTTTTTCAAAGTCAAAAAATACACACTATTTAAAAAATAATGATAGTAAATTAATGATCTAGTTCAACTTGTCACTCAAGTTCGTAGCTGGGATCCGCTAGACGCTATTTACGGGTCTTTTCACGGATGACTCGCCTCTCAAGATTGAAGTTTGATGTTATATTTTTAAAATATTTCATTTTTATGATTGTTTTGTTATGTAACTTTCTTATCAAATGTGTCCATATATTAATTGTATGTAGAATTAGAGATAGTTTTTGAATACTTAGCTTCTCTTGGGATGGGCTGAAAATGATGAGTTGTGTTGTCACGCCCCGGACCTACCCGGACACGTCAACAACCCGCCGTACAGTACAAATAGTCAACCGCAGCCCAACTCATCCATACTATACAAGGCGTCTTGAATATCATTCACACATAGTACATCCATAAACAAACATAATGTAAAATATTCATTTAAAGCAGCGGAAAATAGTTAATACAAGTGTTCAAGTCACACTTGGCATAATTAGGCATACAAGCCCCCAAAAATAATTATTCTGAAAATAATATCCATGAGCATTATTCTAATTGTTTTGAAACTGAAACGGAGGAAGCACGAACCACGTCTTCTCTCCTAGATCTTCTCGAAGCAACGGGCACTGGTAGCAAGCTCAACTCCTACCTGAAACTGTGAGGTGGCCTCCCCTGTGAAGGGGAGGTCAGTACTTGGAAGCATTTGACAAGTACAATGACAACTATACTAAGTATAATCAATGTTTCAATTCCTAAGACCCTCAATCTAGGGTGGTATTATATTATAGGCCATAACCCTCGGTTACCCCTTTTTAAAAATATACTTACTTTATATAGAGTCAGGTAGTCGGCCCGTGGCCCATATTCGTTTTTGAAATGCCCACCCCTATTTCCCCGTGACTACTAGTCACGATTGTTATAACCTTCGGTAAATTATATTACCGTCATGGGGCATTTCTTAATTACATTATTTAGCCATCATGGAGCCTCGCTCAATCTTATTATCATACCGTGCTAGAGCCTCGCCCTTAGCCATCTACATTTATGCTAGAGCCTCGCTCTTAGTCATCAACATTAGGCTAGAGCCCCGCTCTTAGTCAACCTACCTTCATACTAGAGCCTCGCTCTTAGTCATCTACATCTGGCTAGAGCCTCGCTCTTAGTCAATCTACATTTATGCTAGAGCCTCGCTCTTAGTCATCTACATCTGGCTAGAGCCTCGCTCTTAGTCAATCTACATTTATGCTAGAGCCTCGCTCTTAGTCATCTACATCTGGCTAGAGCCTCGCTCTTAGTCAATCTACATTTGTTAGAGCCTCGCTCTTAGTCAAGCTATTCGATTCCTAAGCCAATTCTACGCCTAGAATCATTTTACCTTGAGTAGCCTTTAAGGCCTACTCCTAACATATCTTAGAGCTCATACATTCCGACCCTTAAGTATCTCTTAGGACTACTTAAGGCATCTCTATTCACAATCCTATCTCTTAGGATGAATTTCATCATTTATTTATCTCAATCTCCCGACTAGTATTTCAATACTAGTCGGATAATCTTAGAACAACCAAGTTCTTAATTCATAACCAACATTTCATTCCAATTGATTTTCCAATCCAAATACAATTTAATCTCAATATCAAGAATATCACTTTTATCCATTCATGAATTCTACACATGAAGTAAAAGTATATTTTATCGCAATATTTTCATAGTTAATTCCATTATCATGCCATCACTTTCATATCACATAATCATACACAATTTCTCCCAAATTTGTATATCATGCTTCATTTACTCATAAACAATAGTATTTTCATTTAGGCACTATTAATCATTAATAATCCATGAAAATCACATTTAACAACTTTAGGTAATCTTATGAAATTAACTCACTAATTATAAACAATATAGTCAGTCATCCTCACCTTATGATGTGCTCAACTAGCTGCCCTAGCAAAGCCCCTCGATCCGTCCTCGTTCTAGGCCGATCGGAGATGAAGAATCTGGACAGCAGGTGAAAGCCGGGCGGCTTTCACGAAAGCCGGGCGGCTTTCGGGCTCTGCTACACGAGACAGCCTCTTTTACTTGGCGGTTTCCGGTGATTTCAACTCCTATCGATTCAACGATTCTTCTAGGTTAAATACCAACACTTTATATCATTTTTCTACACATTTAAACGTGTAGAACATCCCCTAGAGTCCATCATATGATTTCTATAAAATCATATACGAAAAATATATTAAACGCAAGAACAAGAACCGAGGCTATGAAATTCTTACCGCTAGGCTTTGTTTTCTAACGGATTCGCTTCTCTTCTTGGCTTCCCTTTCTCCCTGAGCTCTGGCTTGGTATGGAGCTCTCTAAGGAACTCTTCAATCTCCCGTATAGCCTCTCAAATGAGAGGATAAGAGACCCCCCCTCCCTTATCTTTCTATTTTTAGAAAGTTGGGCCAATTTAGTTGGGTCGGGTTCGCGGGCTGCTCTTTTTAATTTACTCCGACCCAAATGAATTTTATTCGTTTACTTATATTATTTTAGTCTAGTAGACCTCAATAGATCGATCCTAAAATTTTTTGGATATCCCTCTCAAATGTCACGGGCTTAAACCCCTTTACCTTTCTATTATTAGAAAGTGGCTCGAAAAGTCTCTTTATTTTATTCCTTCACCTTTTTCCCGGCCCAAACATTCGTATATAACTTATTTCCTTATCCTTGGGCTTTTAACTAATTTAACGTGGTCCAAGAATATACTAGTTAGTCCCTCCCCATTTTCTTTAGGGTCCGACACACAATATAATTAAATCGGATTAATTTAATC